GGGGGGGGGGGGGGGAAGTAGGGAGAATCACGTTTAATATTCTCCGGAATGCTCACCGGATAATTGGCGCCAAAAAACGCAAACATGAGGATGACCAGATAACGAGGTCAGTGATCATGATAATCAAGATGATGTGGTTGATGAGATGCTAGTGATGGTGATGAACAAGAATGAGTATGATGTGAATGAACTGATGCATGTTCGCGGAAACAATGAACCAGAGTACCAAAATGGTCCGCTGGGATAAAAACGATCGACCGGACAACCTCTTATAAGACGACATCTGTAATAGCGGATTTGAACATTCCCACAAGTACACAGGAGCGCTTGAGTGTGTGCCGAACGATCAAGGCAGACGAGTACATACAGGATGAGTTAATGTGACTGACTCTGCACCACGTACCGGAACCAGGGTACGCGCGTAGTGATAGATCATCTGCGGCACAGCTGCATACGGTTGACTGTACTCACCAAGGATGTATTGACCAGCTGCATTCCGGGAAATTTTCATATGTAAAAATGTTTTGTGCCTGTCACGTAAAGATGTAATGTGGGACAAGGAAAATATGGCAAATCGTTTAGAACAACTGGGTTCATTAGGACTTGGTAGAAAGAGAGATTACTTGGATAATACAGTGACGCAAATATATATCGCCGGCTGTTGGACAAGCATGGTGCCAATGTCACAACAATAATAACAGAAACAGGTGAATTGGAATAGAGAACAAAGGGTAAAGAAGGTTAAACAGTTACAATGGAAAACAGTGGATAACAAGAATGACAATTTTCGTGTGTTTCACCGTGACATAGATATCCGAAATCAGCTCGATCGCCTAAAAATCAGCGGTGTGGATCCGTAGATTTCAGTCCTGCACAACGTAGACCATTGTATGGTAATCTAACTTCCTAAAGTGCAGTTGTTGGTGATGGGTGGGGACCATGATACACATAGCAATATGAAAGAAATAAAAACAGTAGCAATATTTCAATTCCTTTTAGGGAACTACTAACTGCACAATGAATTTTGGAAAAGGACCAGTGGCTAATTCAAATCTACCAGACAATACGTAGAGGTGAGGGGAAGTAGAGCCACCGTGGTGCCGGTTGAAAACATTCTTCTGCTTCACCAACTCCACCCATACTGAGGCGAAACGACAAGTATGTTGCTTGAGGAGAGACCTGGATTACAATGAGGTCCAGTTCAGACAAACGAATGGGTTCCCGAGGGGGAAAATATGTACTGAAGTGTCTAAATTTTGCAACCCCAAGTTGTGGATTCGATTGATTCCGAATGAACAGTGGTGAATCGTTCAGCCGGTTCTTGATCTTTTGTTATTTCAGACTGTGATAAGATTAGTTGAAAGTAGACCCCGAGAGTGGGAGAATACCACGGGTTAACAACAAGCCAACCGATACGATATCGGATGGAGGAACAATCACTGGGGAGGTTAACCACTAATAAGTGAGCATGGAATCAAGGAATTCATGACTGTAGTCGATCAGCTAGTATCTGTGGATGTAGCAGGTTTTTAGTTAGCTGTAATAGGGATGAGCCTCATGGTAATTGCTCAGAGTTTTGCATAGTTCCGCGAATTTCAGAAAAGCAGGTGCGCTTTTGTGCCCGGATTTTAACGGCTATTTAGGTTCGATCGCTAATGATATTGGTCAAGAAAGAGTATTACGGAACACGAATAGGCTGGACTCGTCCCAGTCAATGAAGATTGACCATTTGTTCCAAGTGATTTCCGAAAGTTCGCCCGTTCTCTCTCTCTCACTCTGTATGGACTCAGAAGCAGTCTCCTCGCTAGGGGAGAATAACACCTGTGGCTGGAACAGGTTCAGATTCGTGTCAACGGCAAAAAAGGAACTTAGACTGACTTGTTAGAATGTGGATAAAAGAGCGCGACAGAAGAAAAGCCAGATCGAATTTTAATCGAGAACAAAACGACAGAAAACTATGCAATCCGGTAAGAATAGCATGTTTTGAAGGATTCCAGGATGACAGCGTCACTTTATCATTTTTTTAAAATGACTTCCTTTTATTGAATACATAATGATACAATTTTCAGGAAGGGGGAAGCGGCCAATCAAAGGGTTACCATGGGGAAAGTCAGGCGGTGGTGGTGGGGTTCGAACACACGTTCCCCGAGGTGGTATTTTGGTGACGTTACCACCGGGCCACCAACGCCCACTGTCGAAAACCAAGGACTAAAACGAATATCATTCAATTTAATATATGGAACAGTTATTAAGAAAAACTACTTCCTACTGATAAGTGCTATGAGGCGAAAGAATACGTACTTGATGGTGAGGGAATAATCATTAGGACAAGTCTCACTATTTCGTACGAGAAAACTTCCTTCCGGTTGATTTCGCAGTAGTTCTTCAGCTTCAAGACGCGTAAGCGATCGATGAAACCACCTGAAAGGACAGGAAGATCATAAGAACAAAGAAGGACGTCAGATTGGATGATAGGGGCGGGGGGGG